CATATTTGCATAAACAAACATGCCTTGCGATTTTCATTAATTCTTGGCTTGCTTTAGTTGTGGTTTGAAATGCCCTGATTCTTAGAAATATTCCTACTAACCCTGCATGTAGCCTTTCCAATGCAAGTCCTGAAAGCATTAAACATTCTTTCTTTGAATGCATCTTCTTATTCAGATGAATTAATCTGTGCGGACGCCGAACGACTTTTAGAGACTAATGAAAATACGCCATGTCACCTCTACTCGGTACTGCGGCTCGGTATTGCTAGGTACTGGATAACGTGGCTGCACCTGATTGGCTTCAAGATGATAAGCTGTGTCGGATGTCCGCACAGAATATTCTCTCTCTCATTCAACCTCTTAACCTCTATTCTCTCTGTTTTTTTCTACTTTCTTGCTGCATTCGCATTTTATGCAAGTTTTAGAGCATATTAATTGTCTAGGTCCAATATGATAAAGAATGCATATCGATTATCTATTTGTTGCATTTTATACCTTCTCTTGGGTTAAATAAATTCTAGAAGATATGAACACTCGGTTCATAGTCTATTGGCTTTACATTGCCGAACCAAGAGAGGTATTCTTCTAAAGTTTAAAATTTGGAACAATTATGATGTGAACAATAAGATTTTGGATTGAATTCTGTAGGCTTTGGACTCAGTCTAACTTACAGGCTGGTCTATTTTGTTAGACGATGATGCCAGACATATTCCCTCATGTAAACTCGCTAGACTCTCTGGATGGTCTTTGCATTTGATTGGCAACCACATGATGTTTTCTTTCGTATTATCATATGCCTTATAGAAGATGTAGAAATTATTCTGTGCGGATGTCGAACGCAGTTCACTGTTCGGAGACCAACCAGAATGTGTCACGTCAGCGGTACTGAACATGATACCGAGCGCGGTACTGAGGGCGGTACGGAGCTGCGGTACCGTGCTGGGGTGACGTGGCACATTCTAGTTGGTTTATGGACGGTGTTTGATGTCCGTATAGAATAATTTGCCTCATAGATGACTCGCTCTTACATGGGAGTATGCATGACTTAACTTGGGAATGTTTTGGAGTCTTCTGAGTCGAGACTTTTGCTCCTTTTTCATTCTTTTTGGTCTTAAATGTTTGATCCAGTTTTTGTTTTCTGATCTATTTGACCATTGCATATATATTTTTTTACCGCAGCTTGTTTATTTCGCTCCTTATCAACTGAGTTGTGCTTAGGGCCTTGTTTTTCGATTCTCTACCCTCATTACACTTAAAAAAAAAAAAAAAAAAAAAAGATACGGCTTACGTTTTAATATTTTCAAAAGGAGTCAACATATATAATTAACAAAAAAAATTTACCCCCTATTTTCTATTGATTAATAATATTTAATACAACTAAATAAATTAATATTAAGTTAACATATAAGATAAACAAATTAAATATGAATTGCGTTCAAATATATGTTTTTATTTTAATCTTGTGCTGATTTAATATTAATTTTTTGGTGTGTAAATTATTGCATTTTCCTATTAGTTATTTATTAATTGGGGGAGTCCAAAACTTCAGTGAGAAAAGCATTACTCAATCTTTAAGAATGTAGTTTTGTTTGAAATTGAAAAAGAAATGGTAATGCAAATGAATAAACCCAATAAATTAGTTTGTGAAGACTTTCATTAAATAGAAAATACATCTTATTATTATGTTAAATAATTTAAAATAAAAATTCTCTAGTTATATGTAAACCAAATTTCTAATATTAAGGTTTCATTTGGTATAGTTTTCTTAATATTTTTTAAAACAATTTTTTGATACAAAAAATTCCTGAATTAAAAATTTTGTATTAGAAAGCTGCTTCAAAATGTATTAAGAAAGTCAAATCAAATCTAAATTATAGTGTAAAGTGCATTTGTATTCCCTTAATTTATATGAAGTCCTCAAAAAATATTATTAAGACTTCTTATTGCATCAAAATTAACTTATATCTTAGAACAAAATGGAAATAAATCCTTGAGAGTATTTTTAATTGAATTTAACTTTTTATTATCATAATATTGGTATATAGAGCAATCAATAATAAATGCTTATGTATAAAGATCTTTACCTAAAAGCTGGTTTTGCTTTTATGGAGATACTCTCAATAGAAGTTTTTCAAGTGGGAATACATCTACCGAAGTTCATGACTTAATTTACAAATAGAAACGAAAAAAAAAAGCAACAAATAGATAGAAAGAAAATAACTTTTTAAAGTTGATACATCATAAAAATGGCATTGATCATGCATGAATCTCAAAGCATATCTGAATGTCAATTTCAAAAATAAAATTTGGGAACATCCGAACTCGAATTTCATCAAATTTATCGTCAAATTGAACTTCTCTGCGAGACGAGCCCAACGACAGCAAAATCGGTCCAATCCGAGCCCAAATGAGTTCAAATCAATGGCTTGAAGCATATTAGGAAGCTTCAAATAATTAACTGGATAGTCAAATGATATCAAATGTAGCATGCTTATAGTTGAATTGAGTGGTTTGACGAGACGATCCAATGAGCCCAAAATCGCTTAATTTTGACATCATTCATTAAGGCACCTAATGTTGAATAAATACTTTATGATCAAGAGAATCAGTATGGGCCATCTGATGGAACACTCTAAACTTGCCATAGATGTTCTCCATATTTATGGGGCATGTCACTCTCCAAATCTATAAATAAACATCTTTTCACATGAGGGGATACTTTTGGGAAGAAGGTTTGGAGCAGGCTAGAGACTCAAGAAAAGTTTAAGGTTTGAGGAATCGTCGAGCGCACCATCCTATCACCACCGCTGGTGAACCCTCGTTGCTAGGTTGTCGTTGCATGCTAAGGGTGTCAAAAATTGACACAATACGAAAACCAAACTAGAACCCGACCCTAATTGTTTGAGTTAGGCTCAACCCGATCAAAGAACGAGTTAGGTTTAGGTCTTGATTTTTTGACTTGTTTCAAATTTCTGGTTGGGTTCAGGTCAACCTAGAAACCCGATCACTACAGAATAACCCACAATTATCGGCGAACAGAATACGCTGGTAACGTTAAAATTTTGATTGAAACATTATGTTTCTGTCGCATGTCCGGTATATAAATATATATTCGCCAGAAGCTCCGACGGTAATTGCGTTTTTTGCTGTAGTGGATTTAGACTCGTAACTGACCTAGATCCTGCCCCCCAGATGCGTCCCGCATGACCCATGCCCTTGTCTGCCCCGCACCCGCACGAGTCAAGCCTGTGCTCAACCCAACAAGCCATAACCGACGCTCGTCCCCAGACTACGATCCTTCTACATATAGTTTCTTGCTAAGTATGGTCCTTTCAACCTCTATAAACCATCGACTATGGTTCGACTGACCATTATCGCACAACTACAATCCTTTCGACCTCCATCACCCACAGGCTATTGTCGCTCCGATCGATCACCATCGCCCGATATGTTCCCTCCAACCACTGTCACCAGGCCGCAATGGTCCTTTTGACTGTATTTGCCTGACTACGATCCTTCCGACCTCCATTGCCCACCAATTATAACATTGCCAACCACTATTTTGAGATCGTAGTCCTTCCGATCGCCATCACCTACCAATTATGATCATTCCGACCATTATCGTCTGACTATAGTTTTTGACCTCTTTCACCTGTCAACTACGGTCCTGATGATCACTATCATTTTTAGATATGGTTCTTCCAACCTTCATTAACCACCAATTATGATCTCTCTGACCACCTTCGCCTGACTATAGTCCCCTCCAACTATCGTTGCTCGGCTACGATCATTCTGACCTTTGTCACCGGCTGACCATAGGCCTCCGACCACTGTCACCTGATTAATTATGGTCCTTTCGACCTCTTTCGCATGCCAACTACAATCCATACAACCATCGTCGTTAAACTTCAGTCCTTCTAATCTCTGTTGCCCGGCGACACTATTCTTTTTTACCACTATTTCCTGACAGCAATCCCACTAACCTGTTTCACATGATTACAATCCTATTGACCAAATGAACAAGCTAAAATTCTTTTGAGAACAACTCTCATGTCATTGGATTCTTCCAATCTCAACTTTGTAATTTACTTTATATTTTCTTCATTAAGGCAACACCTTCTCTCGAGGAAGGGCATCATTTGTAATCAACAATAAACACTAGTGAATTCATTTCAACTTAACAAGAACTCGTGATTTTCTTTCTTTTTTAGGATTTTTCACATAAAAATTACGGTGTCTCTTATGACTCTTGCCCCCCTCCCCTCTCTCTTTTATCTATATTTGTGCTAGATCATCATTCAAAACTAAGACGTTAAACTCTTTATCTCTCTATTGCCTCGAATATTCCGACCTGCAACAAAAGTTATTTTCTTTCTTGTTGCAAAAATTTATTTTGACAATCAATTTTTGAGATCGAATTATTCAATTTTGAATCCATTCAATATCAATTTCAAATCAAGTTGAATACCCATAGTCCAATTTGAAATCGATACATGACTTAAATTTGTCCTATTTTGAACTAATTTATTTAAATTTGTTCGAACATCGAAATTTTTTCTTCTGCTTTGATTTTATATTTAATTTTATACATATAAATACATATTATATAACTCAATATTATAATTTGATTTAATTTTGAAATTACTCGAGTCAATTCAAGTCCAATTCAAAAAAAGAACTGAACCGAAATTTTTTCTTTATGACTTAATTTACTTGCCACGATTAAAAAATAATAATAATAATAACAATTCGCTCCTGATCTGACATTTAATCTCGTCCATATACATTTCCCAACAGTCCACACTATTAGTAAGAAATCAAGATTAGTCTTACCTATCACTTCATTAATAAAATCCTTAATTAATTCAAAAATAGCCATACTCCCCCGTATCGTAGAAGGCACTCCTTTCATGAAGCATTTCACACTATCTCATGCTGTCATGCACACATAAATTGTACAATATAGAACGTTTCCTCATCATAAGCCAAAAAAAAAAAAATCTACTTCACCCATATAGTTGCTTTCCCACTTCGATCATGCGTTATAAATATATACACGGACGTGGATCAGAAGTCCCAAACAAGCTCCATGTCTGTGCTCCCATGGCTAACCGTAACCACAGTCATCTGGCTCCAAGCCATCGGCGGCACCAACACAGACTTCTCAGCCTATTCATCTCCGCTCAAATCTCGACTTGGCATAACCCAAGTTAAGCTAAATAACCTCGCCTTTGCCTCCGACGCCGGCAAGCTCTTCGGCTGGTGCGCCGGCCTCGCCGCCTCCCGCCTCCCATTATGCGCCGTCCTCGCCATTGGCGTCACTCTCAGCGCAATCGGCTACGGCTTGCAATTCCTCTTCATGTCAAGAATAATTTCATCACTCTCGTACACTCAATTCTTCTTTCTCAACATGCTCAATGGAAACAGCATTTGCTGGCTTAACACTGTGGCGTACATAACAATTATGCGACAGTTTTTACCGGCGGATCACGGCACCGTCATCGCGCTTACGACCAGCTACACTGGTTTAACGGCGAAAATTTACTTAGCCTTGGCTGAGGTTATAGTAGGGAAGAATAATGCGGCGTCGAGTGGGAGTGACGGGAAAATTTACGTGCTGCTCAATGCTGTGACGCCAGTGGTGATTGCGTTATTGACTATGCCGACTATTTGGGCGATGAGAGAGAAGCCGAGGGATGTGAAGGCGGGGCTAGTGATGATGTTTGGTATAGCGGGAGTGACGGGGGCGTATGCGGTGATTCAGACGACGGTACCGACGTTGCATAGCTCGTCAGGGATTATGCCGGAGATGGTTTTGGTGGTGATGGTGGCGGCGGTGATTTTGGTGCCGGTGGTGAAGGTGGGGGAGTGGGCGGTGAGGAGGGGGAAGCAGGAGGGGAGTTTGAAGGTGGGGGTGGGTGAAGTGGGGGATGTGGAGGGAGGAACGGAGGAGGAGAAGGAGGAGGAGGAGGCGGTGGTGGTGGTTGGGACGGAGGGAAATGTGAAAGGAGTGGTTGAGTTGGTTAAGAAGGTGAATTTTTGGCTGTATTTTATGGTGTATTTATGCGGAGCGACTCTGGGATTGGTATATGGCAATAATTTGGGGCAGATTTCACAATCACGAGGCGTATCTGAAATTGTACTGCTTTCAGTATATTCGTCTTTTGGATTCTTTGGGAGGCTCGCAACTGCGCCGCTCTCCATCTTCTCCAGGTTCGTCAGTAGCTTATTTTGATAAAATTTTGAACATTTTTTTAATAAATTTTAAGATTTTTATAAAGTAAATTAAATGAATTATATTGTTCTTGCTAAGTACATTAAATGGTTTCTTGTTTTTAGCAATAGAAACTGTAAAAAAATAAATTTTGATCTAGAATAGATTCAAATTTGGAACTTAAAAAATAATTTTTAAAATTTTGAACAATTTAGCTAATTGGCACTCATCAGTTGGGCAAATTATCAGGTGCGGACATCTGACAAAGAGAATCATCGTGATTTCTCTCCGTCTACAATAAAAGCGCAGTCAAAGCGCAGCTGCTACAGTAACTATGCTTTTATTATAGACAAAAAGAAATCCTGATAATTCTCTCTGTCTAATATATGCACCTAATAATTCTTCCATCAGTTGACAGATCATTGCAGTATAAACTATCACACCAATATAGCATAATAACAAATGATGAGAAAAAAAAAATTGGCTTAATAGAACTTAATATAGCAACCTGATGGAGTCCCCTAACGTGCAAATGCGGCTAGCCAAACATTTATTAAGTTCACATGGTTGCAAAGATCCGAGTCGTAAGTTAATTGTTCTCAACAAAAAACAAAAACTAATTAAGACTTGCATGTTCCCACTCTCAACTCTAATTAACTTTCACTTGCATGAAAAATTAATGAAACAGGAGCAGGTACAAGATATCAAAGATTGGCACCATAGCGGTCTTGATGATTTTCATGTCTATTTCATTCTTTCTTCTCATAAGCTCTAGAAAGGTCCCTCTCTTGGTGAGCACAGCTATCATTGGAAGCTGCTCCGGTGCTATAACCTCCATTGCTGTCTCAGTGTCCTCTGAGCTCTTCGGCCAAGAAAACTTTGGTGTGAACCATAACATTGTTATTTCAAATATTCCAGTTGGTTCTTTCCTTTTTGGCTCCATTGCTGCTCTCATCTACGATAAGGGAGAAAATGTGGGCACTGGAAGAGATAGGATTTGCATTGGAAGTGATTGCTACCAGAAGACATTCATCATTTGGGGATGCATTTGCTCTTTTGGGACTATTCTGAGCTTTGTTCTTTTTTCTCGAACTAGAAAAAGTTTTATAAAGTCATAAAGATTGTTGTAATCATGATGTTTAACTTGGAAATTAATTTTGTTTTAATTTTTTTTTTTTTGGTAGATTTGTCAAAATTGCCATGTGCCTTTACAGGTTTTATATCTTTGCTTTTGATATTACGATATGGTAGATTTGGAAAACTTTGGCTTATGATATCTTTATTACTATTTGATTTTGAGGGGTCCAAGAACCTTTGAATCTTTTTTTTTTTTTTAATTGAAAGAAGAACCTTTGAATCTTCGGCGTTAATATAATGCATAAGTAATTAATATTAACTTTTTTAACTTTTCCAAATATAGATTTAAAAGCTTTGAGAGTAACAATTACCAATTTTTTTATCATGGTATCCTTATAAAAAAATTTTTCCCTATTAATATTACATACAGCTGTCAATATAATAGAGCAATATTTCTGACGCTGCTTAAATTTAATAGTAGTGGTGTAAGTTATTTAAGTGGGCATGTGAGCCGGCCGGCTCAAATTTGACTCACTAGTAAGCTCACAAGTCAAGCTTATTGAGCAACGAGTTTGATTTTTTGTTTAAGCTCGAGCTCAATTATTATATGAGCTTGAATTCAAGTTTGACCTAACTCGGTTTGTTGGAATGCCAAGTTTGCTTGATTAATATTAATTAATACACATGCATTTATATTAGCCTAATTAATTATTTTGCCATAAAATATGAATTCGAGCTCCAAAATGAGCCATTCCTGAGATTTGTTATCAAACTCGAGCAACCGAGTCAAGCTTGAGCTTCATATTTTTCACTAGAGCAGAGCTTGAGACGTTCGAGTTCAAGCTCAATATAAATTAAACAAATTTAGCACGACTAATCAAAAACTTAATTGGACTAGTTTACACCCCTAATTGAGAAATGATAGTTTCAGCTTGAAAGTATATTATTTATCTTCACTCAAGTTAATATTTTTTTTCAAATATATTTTTAAAAGTTTAAATGTTATTGATACAAAATTAATTTCCAGCTCATAAAAAAATTCCAAACAAATAATTTTTTTTTTGTGCAAACGCAAGCATATGGCTACAAATATTAAATTACCCAAAAAAATGCATATTCATAATTTGTGTAAATTTCAAGTAGAAAGTCACCAAGATATGAGTAGGCCTTCAAACATTTAGGTACCTGGTTTATATTGGGGAGGAGTACGTACCAAGTCTTTAAGAATCCTGAAATTTAGAAAAGCAGCTTCATAAACCATTGACCCAATAAAACTTCTGATCAATTAAAACCTCCAAGATTCAGTAATTGTCTTAATCATAGAAGTGATCTTCATCCAAGTCAGAATTTTTATAATTTTCAAAATAAAGGGCAATAGATCTTGTCAAGCCTATCATTTTGACATGAATAAAAGTTTTTTTTTTTAGGATCGATCACTATAATAGAGAACTCTTCCTTATTTTATTTTCATTGAATGCTAAAATTTAACGTCCAAAGTAAATAGAAAAATATTAATACTTTGACTTTGCATTAGCAAAGTTATATTAAGAGAGATGACTCTTATTAATTTGATCCACATATAATAGTTTGGGTAAAAGAAATATTTCCTGTGAGTATAATGTTTGCTCTACAAAAGAGATGTTAAAATATTGCTATTGTTAATATTGGCTTTTGAGGGCCTACGTATATCTATTATCAATACATTCTTAGAGAAATCATCTGAAGAACGACATCTCCCTTTAAATCAATTTGATAGCTTACAAAAGAGTGACTTCACTAAATAATTTACCAATAAGAAAAAGAAGAAAGAAAGCTATCAATTTATTCAGAGTATGATAACATCAAAGTAGGCCAATCCTCGTAAGAAAAGAGAGTCAACGGTTCCATAGTATTATGAAAATAATGTATGTGTGAGGTCTTATTACTTATAAGAGGAGGGGACATGGAAGCTATAAATCAATGACCAATACAAAGGGTCCTAATTTCTCAAGCGGGGGAGAAGGAAAATATGTTGGGAAAAAAATAAACTTGGATAAAGGAAATTTAATTGAAGGCCCCTCCATGAGACAAATGTAGGGAGGGATAGGGGTGTCAATTCTGGTCAGCGGGTCGGGTTTGGGTCGAACCCGAAACTGACCCGGCACTATTCGGGTCAACCCGAATCCGATCCATTTTTAAAAACGGGTCAGGTATCCTGACCCGAACCCGACCCGATTCGGGTCCGAGTCAACCCGACCCGACACGAATGACCCGAATTTGATCTAAAATTGCTAATTTTCAGGTCAAAATCGGGTTAATATTCAATTTTCGGGTCAAAATCGGGTCAAAACGGGTTGATCTCAGGTTTTCGGGTCAAATATGAGTTTTTGTGTCACTTTCGGGTTAATTTCGGGTTGCTGGGTCAACCCGAATCTGACCCGATTTTTAAAACGGGTTGATTTGTTAACCCGAATCCGACCCGATTCGGGTTGACCCGAACCCGGATTTTTCCGGGTCGGGTTCAGGTCGTGTTTCGGGTCGTTTCAAAAATTAACATCCCTAGGGAGGGATTATAATCAATGTTAAATTTAAAGAGAATTTGAGAAGGAAAAAACTTAATTTTATTATACAAATTTATCTTTTATGTATAGATGTATACCAGATGTCTTAATAAAGAGATAAATAACTACAAATCAAGCATAATTGTCTTAATATAATCCTTCCAAAACCAACCACCCAAATATAGAGGGAGATCGGTCACTTTAGGAAAAATGATCATTTCCAATGGAATTTTCGGCGGAAATAAATCCGTCAGAAATTATGGTGTATTTCTGGCAGAATATTTTCAACGGATTACAGACAGATTTCTAGTAGATTTACGATAGATTTTTCGATGGGATTTCCAACAGATTTATTTCCGACGGAATTTAAAATTTTCTATGAAAAAGTAATTATAATAAATATTTATAATTGTTCATTTTTAATTTAATTAATTAATGAGCTAATATAATAAACTTTGTTAAATAATTTTAAAAATAAATATTGTTAAATATATTAACCATTTTAATAATTTATTGTCAAATTAAATTAAATAAATAAATTTATTTTAATTAAATATTGATAAACTAAATTAAATAAATGGTTTTCATAATTATTGTTAGGTTAAACTAACTAGTTTAAATTAATTCATTAGCTAATCCAGAAAATATTGTTGAATTAGGATTTTTAAAACTTAATAAAAATTTAGAAAAAAATATGAAATGTTTAACATTTAAATAAAACTTAGGTGATTTTTATTAAATTTTTTTAAAAATTAAATTTAATAAATAAAATAAAATTATTTTAAAAAGATTAATATTTATTCGAGTCGGCTCAAGCTCGAGCTCGACTTGTGAGCTCGATAAGCTCGGCTCTCGAAACAATAAATAAGTCTCACTCAAGCCGGCTCACGAGCCGACTCGGCTCACTTACACCCCTACTTGACAGTGCCAGGCATTGGGATTCAAAATTTGAACTAATGGTGCTAATAGCAAAAGATTGCACGTGCCAAGAGAGACAAATGTGGAGGGGTTAGGGCGGGCCAATGACGACATAAGTATTTTTAATATGCCATGCTAAACCATCATTTTAATTTATGACTATACTACACAAAATTCACAGTTTGAATGAGAGTAGTTTCAACAGCACCTTGTATATAATATGTTGGTTATTGTTACAACATGCATTCATTTATCCTAGTTGATAAATCCTATAAAAAAATATCTTGATTGGGCACAAATCTCGAAGCAAAATCAAGATGGAAACTTTCGAAATTAAAATTGGGATCATCCGAACTCTGACTCCAGCAAACTTATAGTCGAACTGAACGTCTCAAAAATATGAACACAATGACACTAAACTCTAGCAACCGAATCAAGCTTGAGCTTCAAATTTTTTACTAGAGCAGAGCCTGAGACGTTCAAGTTCAAGCTCAATATAAATTAAATAAATTTAGCACAACTAATCAAAAACTTAATTCGACTAGTTTACACCCCTAATTGAGAAATGATAGTTTCAGCTTGAAAGTATATTATTTATCTTCAGTCATGTTAATATTTTTTTTAAAGAATAAATGTTATTGATACAAAATTAATTTCCAGCTCATAAAAAAATTCCAAACAAATAAATTTTTTTTTTGTGCAAAGGCATGCATATGGCTACAAATATTAAATTAGCCAAAAAAAAATGCATATTCAAAATTTGTGTAAATTTCAAGTAGAAAGTCTCCATGATAAGAGTAGGCCTTCAAACATTTAGGTATCTGGTTTAAATGGCCCATGTATATTGGGGAGTACAAGTCTTTAAGAATCCTGAAATTTAGAATAGCAGCTTCATAAACCATTGACCAATAAAACTTCTGATCAATTTAAACCTCCAACATTCAGTAATTGTCTTAATCATAGAAGTGATCTTCATCCAAGTCAAATTTTTTTTATAATTTTCAATACAAAGGGCAATAGATCTTGTCAAGCCTATCATTTTGACATGAATTTTCTTCTAAACCCTAAACCCACTTTGAGAAAAAGTTTTTTTTTAAGGATCGATCACTATAATAGATAACTCTTCCTTATTTTATTTTCATTGAATGCTAAAATTTAACATCCAAAATAAATAGAAAAATATTAATACTTTGAGTTGCAATAGTAAAGTTCTATTAAGAGAGATGACTCTTATTAATTTGATCCACATATAATAGTTTGGGTAAAAGAAATATTTCCTGTGAGTATAATGTTTGCTCTTCAAAAGAGATATTAAAACATTGCTATTGTTAATATTGATATTTGAGGGCCTACGTGTCTCTATTATCATTACATTCTTAGAGAAATCATCTGAAGACCGACATCCCTTTAAATCAATCTTGATAGCTTACAAAGGAGTGACTTCACTAAATAATTTACCGATAAGAAAAAGAAGAAAGAAAGCTATCAATTTATTCAAAGTATGATAACATCAAAGTAGGCCAACCCTCGTAAGAAAAGAGAGTCAATGGTTCCATATTATTATGAAAAAATATGTGTGTGAGGTCTTATTACTTATAAGAGGGAGG